GTAGCACTGGGTTCTAGCATAAAAAGATCCATCAAGCTTCAAGAGCATATTGTGATAGACGGAAGGCATGCTTCCAGTGTTCAAGGTGTACATACGTACACTCCGAGGGCCAAACATCGACTCGCACCACTATATTGATGCAGCCTATATAGGACCCCGCCCCGGTGCAGCAAAACAAAACAAAGCTGCTTGAGCTGACGGCCTGTCAACTGAGCTATTCAATAACGATGGCAAGGACCTAATAACGTGAATGCCCGACGACTGGAATTAAACTGCGCTCTGCCCAATCCACAAGAAAGGCGACCGCGCCATGCGTGCCAACTACCGCGGGATCAGCCTTCTAAGCTTAGGTTGCAAGGTTTTATCGAATATACTGTGTGAAAGACTGAATACCACCGTCAAAGAACTGATTGGGCCTTATCAGTGTGGGCTTAGACCAGGAAAATCCACCATAGACCAGGTATTCACAATACGCCAAATCTTGGAAAAGACCCGCGAGAAGGGATCGACACTCACAACCTATTTATCGACTTTTAAGCCGCTTTCAATGGCCCTAAAAGGAGTTGCCTATACGCCGCTATGTCTGAATTTGGCATCCCCTCAAAGCTCAAACGGCTGTGTAAAATGACGTTGAGCAATACCACCAGCGGGGTTTCAGACAGGGCGACTTCCTTCCATGTGACTTCTTTAATCTGATGTTGTACAATATAATAAGAGCTGCAGAACTGAACCGCTCAGGAACAATTTACTACAAGAGCGTACAATTTCTGGTTTATGCCGACGACACTGACATCATTGGTAAGAAAAACCGCGAAGTTTGTTATGCCTTTTCCAAGTTGGACAAGGAAGCAAAGCAAATGGGTCTGGGGGTAAACGAGGACAAGACGAAGCATAACCTGTCATCAAACAAACAATCAGCACATTTGCGCCTTGGCACCCATGTCACTGTTGACAGTTATAATTTCGGAAATGTAGAGAATTTCGTTTACTTGGGAACCAGAATTAACACCGATAATAATGTCAGCATGGAAATCCAACGCAGAATCACTCTTGCCAACAAGTACAACTTTGGACTGACTAGGCAACTCAGGAGTATAGTCCTTTCTCGACGAAAACCACACTCTGTAAGTCACTCATAATGCCCTTGCTGGTATATGGCGCAGAAGCTTAGACAATGACAAGATACTATGGGGTGGCTCTTGGAGTATTCGAGAGAAAGATTTTGCGGAAGATTTACGGGCCTTTACGCGTTAGCGACGGCGAGTACCGTAGACGATGGAACGATGAGCTGTATGAGCTTTACAACGACATGGACATAGTGCAGCAAATTAAAATACAGCGGCTCTACTGGCTTGACCATGTGGTTCGAATGGACACCGACGCTCCAGCTCTGAAAGTATTCTTCACTTGGCATTTCCAATTGGCGTCAGTTGGCACAGAAGAGAAACGACTGGGGTGCTTTGCTAAAGTCGGCCAAAATCGCTTTGGCGGTTACAGCGCCAAATAAGAAGAAGAAGATAATAGATCTATAACCTTATCAGTCACACAGTGTTATAATCCCGACGAAATGCTTGACGGGGGTACAGGGAGGGGAACGGTAGATGACGGTAGGAAGTTTATTTTAGGTTAAAGTCTCACACTGACGGGGTTAGGCTTTCAATGCTTCCTCCTCCTAAAATAAACATGCGCAGTCACAAGTTAAGTATTTAAATCGACGAATAGTTTTATATCAACTTTTGTGAACTTCTATTTATGTGTTTTTGTACAACATATTTACCTCTATTGGTCACAATAATTTTAAGCTATAATAAAAATTTATTAGCAAGTAAGTTATTGGTTTTGAATTTTTTTTTTGTTGTTAAAATTACTATAATAATTTGTAATGCCATGGAATTGGTTGCAATATGTTTTAAGTCTCTACCTCTCTCTGATTTCTTTCTATTAACATTTCTTTTTTTCTCTCCCACGTCGAAACCTGCAACCAACTTCCCGTACTGCCTCTTTACCAGGTCTAAGTTTAATGCGTCTAACCCTGGGATTCAGTAATTCAGTATCATCTAAAGTCACTAAATTTGAGATTATCAATTAGTGACTAACTTTGTGACTTGAGACGATTTGGGTATTCAGAAGGAGAGAGTCACAAAAATTTCACCAAAAATGTGTGATGATAGCAAACACAGACAATCAACTGATAGTGTTTATGTATGCCTTTTGCCCGCGCCGCTCAAAGAGTCGCAATGGCCGAGTGGTCAAAGCATTAGGCAGGCAGCCGAGAGGGCCCGGGTTCAAGTCCTCCTCGGCCGTAAAGGATTTTTAGTTTTTTTTTTATTTAGTATTTTTTTTATTACTTTTATTTTTTTTTTATAATCTTTAGATTTTAAGGTTTAAGAAACAAAAAAATAATTTTTTATTTTAAAACATTTGTATGATAGTAATGCATTTTGGTTTATTTCATAATGAAATTCTTGTTGAACAAATTTCCTCGCTTCATTTTCGCGTTTTGTTTTAATAAAATGGAAGGAAATAAGCTTTTCCTCCATGCTTCTATTTTTGTGACCTGCTCTTAGCCAGCTGACAAATTAGTGACTTATTTTTGAGAATAGAGACGTGAGACAGCGTACTGAATACCAAATAGTCTCAAAATCCAAGTTCACCACCAAACGTCACTATTAGTGACTAGAGACCGCTTACTTAATGCCAGGGTGAATTATTGAATCCCAGGGTTAGTCCGAGGTCGTTCTGTGCACATAAGTCTAGAATATCCACAATCTAGCGAAGCAAAAACCACTAATGTGGCTCGATAGAACTTTTTTTGCTGATTTCAACCCAACCAAAATTATCTGACGAAAGTATAATATAAAGAAGATATCAATGGTTAAAGTTAAATTTTCTAATTTTTTTTTTAAATATTAATATCTTCTGAACAATATAACCGATTAAAAAACTAATGACGTCCAAATAAAGGTAATTAGTTTGTCTTTCATGTACATATGTACATAATTTATACGCTATTTTTTGTATTTTTAGTCCGGAAATACAAAAAAAAACCCAAATGAAATAAAAATATATTTTTTTTTTAAATGGCGTTTATATAAAATTAGTTTTATAGTATATACGTCGCATAAAAGGCATTTAAATTATGTCGAAATTAGCAACAATAATTCTTTAATCCGTTAAGTAGTTTCCGAGATATTAAACACATAAAAAATAGATAAGTTGGAATTTAACCTATTTTATTGGCTTTGGTTTTTATTTGTTTATTTGATTGAAACTAGCGTAAAAAGTTCAATCGATCCTCATTTCTTGTTTTTTTTTATAGCTAAACGGTTGGTATTCTAGACTTATGTGTGTGTGTGTGAAATCCTGTAGTACGGGAACATACTAAATGAGAATAAGAAAAAAGTAAAAAAAAAATGTCAAATTAAATTCTGAGTTTCTTAAACACCTCAATGTGAACGCTTGACAGTAGTTCATAAACTCAAAATGTTAAACTCGAGTTAACGGCTCAATGAGAACGTAGTATAACACTATTTGGAGTTAAAGCGAATGTAACCCTTTTTTCCGAATTTAGTTTGTGTCTTTGATAATCCAAACCTGCAGCAACTTGCCGACAGTTAAACGATGTTTCCACTGCAAGTGATTCGCTCTCCCATTCGTAATTCGCTCTCTCATTCGTGATTGGCGCCCCAATTAAGAACCGAATCACGTAATTCGCCATACAAAATTTTGAGAGCGAATCACTTAATTCGTAGGTGATTCAGATCAATCAACAATCGAATCAAGAATAAATCGTTGTCTTCTCTAATTTTTATCGACAACGGCTGTCAAAACACATAGACCACACACTCCCCACCAGCACAAACATTGAAAAAATAGCTAAAAAAATAAAAATAAAAAAGATATCAATGGTTAAAGTAAATTTTTTTAAATATTAATATCATTCGAACGACATAACCTATTAAAAAACTAATAACGTCAAAGTAAAGATAATTAGGGGGTCTTTCACTTGGTACATACATCATTTTCTCCCTTTTTTATATTTTTAAGTCAGTAATACCTAATTAGGGTGGCCAGATGCGCTGATTTAATCATTCCATGTGCTGATTTTTTTCTATTGTACTGATTTTTAAGAGCCCGAAATCAGTACGCAAAATGTACTGCTTTTTCGAATTTGTACTGATTTTTAGATTTAATAAATACTTTTGTAAATTGGTGTATTGACATTTACTTGAGGTTTACATGTTCAAAACAGTGGTTTTTGACAACTCATACGTGCGAGCAGATTGAAAGCATTAATTAAACTTGAACCATTATTAAAAAGGTGTCAACTAGCAATTGTCTCGTTTCCTAGGATTACGCAAAATAACAAACTGTTTGGATTCAACCCAACCCGATTTGCAATCACGATTTGCAGGTTTTACAGGCTGGTTTCGCCATTAATAAATATTATGAAAGGTGGTGGTGAGTTAATCATTTATTAAGTACACTGAGAAGATGACAATAAGAGATTATCTTTTGATTATAATTAAACATCCACTGAGAAATCGGCTGTCAGTATTTCAAACTTAACCCTTTCGACCCAGATGGTACATATATGTTCTACCAAAGTTTAAACATCCCTAAAACTTGTAATTTACATTTAATCACATTTGGAAATGTACCACGCCGTCTGTTAGGAGTTTTACCATCAGCTTGGACTCTACACATTCAGTTTTACATCTCCTGTTATGCCCAGTGTCGTTTTATTTCTGGGGAGAGGCCCCCCGTTAAAGTTTTTGTACAGAATTCCTTGCGTTTGTGAAGATTTCTTAGTTTATTTAAATAACTAGCTGACCCGGCGAACCTCGTACCGCCTCAGAATCAATAAATGTTATCGTAACTTATTAGGTGAATAAACAGTTTTTTTAACGGTAAAATTAAAAAGAACTCACAATGAATTAAGTTTAATAAATGTACAAAAAACCAGAATTGGTGGATAGGTTGGTTGCACTCTAGTCGATTTATTTAAGCACATTATTATACACGACATTTTTCGTTTTGTTGTCAGGTGCGAAAACGAACAAAGCGGATGGTTTTCCGACACATGAATATGCCACGTAAAGTTGACCGTGAGAGAGACATTCATTTTCAAGATTCAGGCCACAAACACTCAAAGATTGACCTTGTGATTTGTTGATCATCATGGCGAATGCAAGCCGAATCGGAAATTGAATTCGTTTAAAGTCGAATGGTGTATCGGTTGGGATCATCGGAATTCTCGGAATGAGAACTTCCTCACCTTCGAACTTTCCTTTACGTATCGTCGCATGAATGACATTGTCTATGAGTTTTCTTACCAACAAACGCGTTCCGTTACATAGTCTTGGTTGGTTAAGATTTCGAAGCATGATAATTACGGAGCCAACCTTCAGTTGTAAATAGTGCGGTGGTAAGCCAGGCAGATCCAATGAGTTTAAGAAGTCAGTTGGATAGTTGGTTGCTTCGTCTTCATTTGTCACACCGTCTATCGATTTGAAGGAATGAAGTGGACCAATGATTTGCTTTTGGATTGTGATATTTAAGTGGTCTACATCGTTGTTCTTTGCCGCAAGAATTGCTCGTTCACTCAACCAATTGTGATATTTGTGGTTAGCAATTATATTCGGGAACACTTTGTTGATGAGCTCGTCCGTTGCTGAAACGAAATTGCAAAAATTCGGTGGAAAGGAAATCAATCCGTTCGATTGTCGACAGGAACACGGCCATTACCGATAGTCAGCAATTGTTTAGAGAAAGTTTCGGCGGATGGATCATTTAGCAATGCAACTCGCATATTTGTGGTCAGCTGAAGTTCCTTAACAAAGCGCCACAGAGTAGATGATTTCAGGCAAGCGTTTATTTCATCGGCAGCCGTCGATCTTGGAATGACTGGTAATGTTTGGCGAAAGTGACCAGACAGTAGAATCATTGCGCCACCAAAACATATTGAGTCATTGCGCAGATCTTTCAAAGTGCGATTAAGTGCTTCCAATGCGCGTTTGTGCGCCATTGTGCATTCATCCCAGATGATGATTTTACTTGCTACCAAAACTTTGGCCATTGCTGAGTCTTTCGCAATGTTGCATGTCGGATTTTCAGTCGTTTGAAGGTTCAAAGGTAACTTCAATGAGCCGTTCGGCATCCTTATAACAACGTGGCTGCTATCCCAGAAGAAGCAACTGCTACTGCAATTTCCGATCTCGCACGAACAGTGGCCAAAAACAATGACATGAGGAATGTTTTCCCAGTTCCCCCGGGCGCATCGAGGAAAAATAAACCACCGTTTCCATCATCAATCGCCTTCATTAAGGTATTGTACACTAAGTTCTGTTGGGTGTTCACCCAAGTCAAGTTTAACAGAAGGATGCGAGCTGTAGTCAATTGTGCAATCGTATTGAAACGCCACTCGATTCAAATCAATACTTGAATAACTTCTTCGTGCGCGTCGAATATAATCACGTTGTTTATCTGTATTATAAGCTCGACGATTTCTTATTGCTAAATTAGCAGTTTGACGTACTTCCTCTCTTCGTTCTTGTGTTAGTGAAGCACGAAGTCGGATCATACTAACGCGGCGCTATTCTCGTGCGGTTTCTCGTTCATCTGCAGTGGTTTGATTGGTTTTATTCCGAAGTCTAATTGCATTATGACTTCGTTGTGAAAGATTAGATCTTCTGCGTCGCGGCAATGTAAATAGCACTTGAAAACTAATCACATTATTCACAATTACTTAATTAAGAAATTATCTATGAGCGCACAAAAACAAATGTAATAACCTCAAAAAGTGAACGCATTTGGAGGCAACTTACCGTTTAAAAATCGCAATCGAAAATATATTCGCACAGAAATCCTGGAAAATTAAACACACCAAAATTATCGATCGGATTGATTGCGCGAACAATGACACCTTTGAAATCATTTTTCGCTGAATAATTTCTGAAAAAATTGTTTGAAACGAATTAATAGAATCGAAATCAAACGCAATAACCGTCGAACACTGAATTAAAATTGGTGAAAACTCGGAAAAAAATGTTGGCATCTATCTCAATGGTATGTCATGGCAACTGAATAACTGCCTACTTATTTGACAATTAATAAAAAATTTCACAAACTTTCCTCTTCAAACATTTAAATTTCACGCTCACTTTCTTACTAACGATTTTTAATTACATATACATATGTAACTTAATTTCAGCGCCACCTGGCGGCAAATTTTTTCGAAAGAATTCTTTTTCCTGTTAACAATACATATTTTTAATCTGAGCATAATCGGACCATAAACACGATTTTTAGTAATAACTCGACTCCAATGCCACCTGGCGGTTTTTTTGCAATGGTATTATTTTTTCTATTGTAAATACATATCTCGAATATGAGGCCAATCGGGCCACAAATACGGGTTTTACTAATAACTCGACTCCAGCGCCACCTGGCGGCTCTTTTTTTTGCAATGGTATTGTTTTTCCTATTGTCAATACATATCTCATATACGGGCTTTACAAATAACTCAACTCCAGCGCCACCTAGCGGTTGGTTTAATAGTTATTCTGCTATTCGGAAGGTAGACAAATTCAAAAACCAAATATCATTAAAATCGGTCCAGCCGTTCTTGAGTTATAAATGGTGTAACTAACACGACTTTGTTTTATATATATAGATAAGTCAAATAGGATCAGCAATACGATTTTGAGTAATAAATCGACTCCAGCGGCACCTGGCGTTTTCAGTTGTGGACTTAAACTGTACAGGGACCTATTCAAACAAATACAAAGTTCACCCACCAGAATAGGTCTATTACATACTGACACTCTTCAGCATTTTTTCCATTTAAAAAAAAAAACTACCTAGCATTCGTTATACGGAGAAAATGCGCAACATCATCAGCGAAAAAGTTCTCAAAAATCAACGCTAACTTATAGCCATTTAAAACTTGCACTTTATGATACTGAAATTGAGTGAACTATAAAAGTGCATACTCAAAATTAGGTACCATTTGATGCAAAATAAACTATATTTCTATAAAAATCACCAAAAAAAAGTATTATGAAAAAGAAAAAAACTCTGTATTCTGGGTGTATATATTCACAAATAGGTAACGCGTCCCTTTCCAGTAGCCCCAAAATCTCTATACCAATTTCGAGGACACTACCACAAATACTTTCAGAGATATACGGTATGAAAAATTCGATATGTGTGGCTGATTCCACGCTTCCTTAATATAACGAAAGTCTGCAGTAGGTGACCAAATATTCAAAAAAATCGGTACAGCCGTTCGCGAGATCACCTCTGATAAAAAGAAGGAGCTTCTCTTTATATAATTAGTGTAGGTAACACAGGGCAACACCGATTTTGATGCGGCAAATGTTAAATCTGTTTTTGATAGAATATTTTGTGCTGATTACGAATCCGTAAGTATTAAGTTGTTACGTACGTGTTGCCAGATGCCACGCTTCTACCTTGCTTGCAACGCGAAGACCGCCTCACTCTGCGCTTGCATCCACTCACATGCTCGGTTCGCCACGGGGTACGCTTGCTTGTAGCACGAGCTAGCTCGTCGGACTGTGGGTTGCTGTGACCACCGCTGCATGGAACCGCACCATACAAAAACTCGTACCCCTTTTCTGTTTGATAGGGACACCACATGCCCACCCTTAATTATTCCCCCTCCCCTACCTTGACCCCATTCAAAGGCTCTTGCTGCCACTGGTGTTATTTGGCCGGCGATCATCTTCCCTCCCTACCATGGTCGACAGTGGCCAGAATCGTTGTCGACCCCGAACTATAAGCCGCGTGTCGCCTACGCCTTCATTCTACCCCGCCCATCGTCCAATGTCCGTCCGTCCACACACCCACATCTGGAATCAATTTTCACACGACGATTCAATTAACAATCCATTTTCAATTTATTCACACAATCGCTTACTCACTACAC